ATTTTCAGGGATATTGCATTAGAAGGCCATGTCCATATTTGCATGCATGTTTAGAATGTGGGCGTCAGCGCCCTATGTTTAATTGTTCAATCTCTACTAATCCGCAAAGAAATATGTCATATTTAAGCCAGCGGCAGCTTCGCCCATCAGGATACGGCTTCTCTCAAGGGGCAAGACAAGGGGGATTACGAGCACCCTCCACCATTACAAGACCACTTATGCGATTCCCAGGGCATAGGAATTTGGGACCTAGGTCATTCACCAATAAGGGTTGATAGGATATCTAGGTATTTACACAAATACCCAATAAGACAAAGAGTTAGGGAGTTAATCGATGGCTTATCAAAAGGATTTAGATTAAATTATACGGGGCCAAGGATATTTAGTTTTTCAAATAATCTAGTGTCAGCAAATCAACACAAAGTTCAATTAGAAGAGAAGATTACCAAGGAAATCAGAGAGGGTCGAGTTATGGGTCCATTTTCTAGGCCACCAATGCTCAATTTACATATTTCCCCAGTAGGTTTAGTACCAAAATCAAGTGGAGGTTGGAGGATGATAACGTATCTGTCTTACCCTCCTTCTCTTGGTATCAATGCATTTATAGATCCTGATTTATGCTCAGTAAATACTCTTCTTTTGATTCTGTGGTTGAAATAATTTCAGAGTTAGGTGAGGGTGCTGAACTAGGCAAGGTAGATATTAAAAATGCATTCAGATTGCTTACTATTTATCCTGTGGAATTCAAGTTGTTGGGTTTCAAATTTGACGGAAAATATTATATCGATAAATTTCTGCCAATGGGATGTTCATTATCTTGTGCTATCTTTGAAAAGTTTTCTACATTCTTGCAGTGGGCTACAGTTGCAAAGTCAGGTTTACCTACTTTATCCCATTATCTAGATGATTTCATTTTTGCAGGAAGTAAAGGTTCAGGAAAGTGTTTTAATTTAATGAGCTCATTTCAGTCAATTTGCACAGAATTCGGGGTTCCTTTGGCGGTAGAGAAAACTCAGGGTCCTGTCACCTGTCTAATATTTTTAGGCATAGAGATAGACACAGTTCAGATGTGTGCAAGAATTCCTAGAGAGAAAATTATAGAATTGAAGGGTTTACTGGAAGCACTTCTTGATAGGAAAAAGGTTAAGGCTCGTAGCTTTGAATCATTAGTAGGAAAACTTAACTTCTTTAGCAAAGCAATCAGGGGTGGTAGAGCTTTCAACAGAAGGTTTTATGATGCACTGATAGGTATTTCAAATCCCGAGCATTTTATTCGTATTAATGCTGCCCTAAAACAGGACCTGGAAATGTGGTTAAGTTTTTTGAATGATTTTAATGGAATATCTTATTTCCCTCAAAAGGAATGGACAAATTCCAGGATTCTTCAATTATATACGGATAGTGCGGGTTCAATCAGATTGGAATGTGGATCTTATTTTTGGGGAAGTGGATGTATTACCAATGGCCAAGTAGTTGGGAAAATCGGTCTATAATAAGGTTATTGCATTCTTAGAATTGGTGCCTAGCTGTCACTGATGGTGTGGGGTGCATGAGTGTTTAAGTGGGAAAAAGGTGCAATTTCAAACTGATAATATAGCTTTAGTTGCCATCCTAAATTCGCAGTCTCCAAAGTCAAAAAGGATAATGTATTTGTTTAGGAAACTGGTTTTACTTGTCATGAAATATAACATAGTATTTAAAGCTAAGCATATAGCAGGTTAAGATAACAGTATAGCTGATGCAATTTCTCGCGAGCAGTGGGATCGTTTTCGACACCTTGCTCCAGGAGCCAGAAGGGACCCAGATCCAATTCCAGCGATGTTTCACATGATGTTCTCAGAAGTGAGGCCACTCGATTGTTAAATGCAGCACATTCAGCAATACTACTTCTTCATATATCACAGGAATTTCTGCCTTTGAAAAATTTAGAGTTCAAACCCAGTTGCCAGTTAGTTGGCCTCCCCCTACTGAGCATTTAGTAAACTTTATAGCATACCTGTCTTTAAATAGATATTCTGATGCAACAGCCCGAGCTTACATTTCAGCTATTGGGTACAAATGCAAAATTGAGGAGTTAGTGGATACAACAAATAGATTTCTTGTAACAAAACTCCTTCAGGGTTTTAAGCGTAGAAAAAACAGGGCAGATGGGAGACTACCATTGACCGAGCATATGCTTGCACAATTGATTCATGTTTTAGCTAATATATGTCATAACAACTATGAGGTTGCTTTGTTTTCAGCAGCTTACACTTTAGCATATTTTGCCTTTCTTAGGGTGGGGGAGCTAACTTTATCTAAGGGGAATAACTCTGAAACTGTATTAGGAATCCAGGATGTCCAAATTCAAGGTGATAAATTGCAGATCTTGTTAAGGTATTCTAAGACTGATCAGATTGGCACGGGAGTAACTCTTGTTTTGAATGTTCATGGGGGTATTATATGCCCAGTACAGTGCATGAAAAATTATTTAAACATGCGTCCAAAAATACCTGACCCACTATTTTGTCACTTTGGCGGAAAGTTTTCAATTTTCAATTTAGGTATCAATTTTCATCAGGCTTTGGCAGTGTTAGGTTACAATAATAAATTATATACATCTCATTCCTTTAGAATTGGGGCAGCTACAGCTGCAGCAGAAAAAAGTCTATCAGATGAAGAAATAAAGATTGCAGGGAGATGGAGGTCTAGTGCCTTTCAAACCTATATCAGATCTCCCCTTACTTGCCCTCACAAATCACAAAAAAGCTAATAAAATTATAAACTTTTACAGGAGCAAGAAGTTCTGTATGGATTGTAGGTTCTTCAATTGTCCGAAATGCGGGAATATCAGCCATTAGCAGAGCGGGGGGGGGGGGGGGGGGGGGCAGGGCCTAGGACTTCAGACAAGAGGGATTGACATATGGTGGCAGGGATATAGGGGATTGCGATTTGTTGATCTTGCTTGCAAACTCAGGTGGATAGCACAGTTTGAGAGTCCTCCAAATGCTATAGTTATCCACTGCGGTGCTAGCGATATAGGACAAATCAAAACTGAAAAGCTTTTAAATAGGGTAAGATGGGATTTGAGATTAATAGCATCGATTTTTCCGAACAACAAATTAATTTGGTCCTTTCTATTGCCTAGAATAGCTTGGCGTTACTCGGAAAATAGCAGGGCAATGGAACAGGCTCGGAACAGAATAAACAGAGCAGCTGCTAAGGAAATACTGGGTTGTGGGGGGGGGGGGGGGACTTGATAGACATCCCCAGTTTGTGGGAAAATCAAAGCAATTGTATAGTCAGGATGGTGTTCATCTTTCCAGTCTGGGAAAATACATTTATCTAAATAATTTACAGGGGGCAATGGAGTATTTTGTCAATGATAATGGAGGAGTTATTTTTCCAGTAGGTTGGGCATAGGGGGGTTCTTTAAGTAGCAGGTCCACAGTGGTTGGTTAAATTGAAGTTGCCTACCCCCACCAGGTGGCGGTGAGCACCTGCGGTGCCCATGTGGCGAAATCGTCACCTTCAATTTAACCATGGAACTGTTCATATTATTGAGTTTGTTGGTTGATGTTGAATTTATATATGTGATTGTGAAATATTGATATATGTGAAGTTGACTTTAAATAAGATTTGAGTAAATGTAAAGCAAAACTATTTAACATAAAATATAAAGCAAAATTAGGTAATGTAAAGATATTTGTAAATTTTGTGTTGAATTGTGTTCGTAGCACGATTGAGGTCAACCCAGCGTGCTACTCTTCCCGTTAGGGAGGGCAAAGCATAATGTTGATGTTGGGGGCATGCCAGTTTGCCGGCTGGCCCGCTGTTGTAAATTTATGACCACTGTGGACAATACCTGCCAACTCTTATTAAATCCTTAAATTCAACAATATATTTGTTTTGATATATATGGGGTCTTTGATAATAATGCATATCTGAGCTTGTCTCGTAATATGCATCCTTATCAAAGCTTTACCCTGTTAGGACCATAAGTAGTAATGTATTAACACCAATAGATCTTAAATATTAACTAGTCGGAATTTTGTTATCCATCCATTATAGTGCGGATACTTAGCCACACTTTTTTGGAGTTATCTCCCCTTTTTTTGATGCATCAGTGAAGGTGAGAGGTGGATGATAAAAGTGTCTGATTTCAATTTTGCAAATTTTAAATACCCACCCTGTCCAACCCCCTTTTTATAGCCAGGCAAATATGTTTCCAATTTTCCCCTTTATAGGATTTCCATAAGATAAAACATGTGTAGAGCAATATTTAAACAATTACGTAGTAACAGAAATGCATTTTGGAATCGTTTGCTGCTTTTGGTTTTTTGTTTTCTCTTTTCAGCAGTTAGCTGGGAAGAAAACCAATGAGGTTGATAGGGGATTTTCCTGTTTTCCATTCGGCATCCCTTTGGTAGAGTTATGAAAATAGTCAGCTTCACAGTGGTCTTGATGGCGAAATCGTCACCTTCAATTTAACCATGGAACTGTTCATATTATTGAGTTTGTTGGTTGATGTTGAATTTATATATGTGATTGTGAAATATTGATATATGTGAGGTTGACTTTAAATGAGATTTGAGTAAATATAAAGCAAAACTATTTAACATAAAATATAAAGCAAAATTAGGTAATGTAAAGATATTTGTAAATTTTGTGTTGAATTGTGTCCGTAGCACGATTGAGGTCAACCCAGCGTGCTACTCTTCCCGTTAGGGAGGGCACAGCATAATGTTGATGTTGGGGGCATGCCAGTTTGTCGGCTGCCCCGCTGTTGTAAATTTATGACCACTGTGGACAATACCTGCCAACTCTTATTAAATCCTTAAATTCAACAATATATTTGTTTTGATATATATGGGGTCTTTGATAATATAGTCACTTTACATATATTTTACCACCAAGAGAAGGTCTTTAAACAAAGTGTATTTCGGCCTGCTGAATATAGATAGTCGAGCAAACTGCCTCCCTCATTATAAATTCATTACTCAAGCTTTGATTCACTAGTGATGAGGAATCTAGACATTCAGACAGCCAGAATTCTAGAAGGTCTGTAAACCCTGAACCATTTCACATGCATGGTATTTTTAGAGCTTGGGCAGTGATAAAGACAAGCTTACATTCGACAAGGTAACACCAAGGTAACACGAGATATCGACATGGCGTTTTATTTATTCATGTCTAAGTATTCAAACTGTAAACTTGTATGTTTGTATTATCCCCACTCATCTCCTCTAAGAAGATTCAAAGCTCTCAGGAAATTAGAACTAGAATTCAGATCAAAAACTAGCGTTGATGGAAGTACACTGTTCTTACGAAATATCTTCGAGGTATCTGATGAATAAACTATAATCAATATCATACCCTTCAAATGTTCAGTCCTTTATTATGTTACGTTTTCTGCTACATTGTCAGTATGCAGCCTTTTTTTTTTTTTGCTTCAGACCTCTGATTTGATATATCCATTTTTTTCAAAGTCCTATAACATTAATAATCAGAGGAAAAGTTATCTAACGTTTTATATCGAAGTATTTTATACAAAGAGCAGTGACCGTACGTTACTTCTTTTAAGTACACTGGACACGAAAGTATATAGAAAAACTAGAGACAAAACAAGAGGTGCAACGTTACCAGAGAGATGCTCTCTTTTCTTCTTTTCTTTAAAGAGCCAAACTGATATCAGAACAACTGGTCAATCAGGGTGGATGATAACGCAAAAGATGGCCCTGCTCCACAGGCAAAACCAATAAATAAATAAACGAACAAGATCTGTTTGGTAAACACAAATACCTCGAGTGTTGCCATTTAGAATGAAAGACAATGAGTTGAAAGGGTTTTAACAAATTACAAAATAAAAAATAACTATAAAAATTGATAGGCATGTATATGTGGTTGGACAGTTTCCCTTATACATGTATCTAGCAGAAGCATGCCACATGTACCTTATACTACATGTAAGAATGTACCCACCCTGTTGTAAAGAAATATCCATGAGAACTCCTCAATCAATTTCTTGGTGCATAGCTCTCAATCAATCAAATATTTGGGTTTTTTTTTTTTTTTTTTTTTTTTTTTTTTTTTTTTTTTTTTTTTTTTTTTTTTTTACAATTTCTTGGTGCATAGCTCTCAATTAATCAAATATTAGTTTACACACTGATAAAATTCACTTTACATCATGCATTTAAACTGCAAACTGCACTAAAGTGACATACTAACCCCATGTGAGAGTTCCTAATTCTTTTCCTTCCTAATTTTATTTTGAACCTATTCTTATAGGTTTCTTATTATTTTATCGTTCTATTACTTTTCGAATTACGCTATTTAAAGAGAATTTTTAAAAAAAATGTACTTTGCCATAATAATTCGTTCATTATGTAAATCACCCTCCAACAGAATAAACCAGACAGACCGGGCGCTTTTCAGGTCCGCAATTCTTTTCATATCAACTGGCTTTTAACATTCAAATTACTGTAAATCACCTTTTTATTCGCTAGGCCTTCATTTAACGTAATTACGCGAGACGGTCTGCTCGCAATGATTTCATTCTCGCGCATATTTTAATCTGTATAGATTTTATATAGCAATAACCAGATTTCTTGAAAATTTGGTCTCGCTAATAAAATCGCTTATAAAATACCAAATACCTATCCCAAGAATATAAGATGCCTACAGTAAACATGTTAAATGTAAAATTGTAAATATATTGGGTTATATAGTAAAGTTTTAGTGCTATTTTTTTCTTTATTTTCTTTGTCTTCATGACTTTCTTAACCTTTCTCTGTCTTGAGGAAGGGACAGGGCGTCCTGAAAATTTGACAATTTCTATTGTTGTTCGTGTCGCTGGTCAAATTTCCATTTGTTACCTTGCATCTATTTATTTAGTAGGCCCGACAGAAAAGGATATATATATATATATATATATATATATATATATATATATATATATATATATATATATATATATATATATATATATATATATAATCATAACAGTAAAGATTGATTGAATATTGTTTAACGTCCCTCTCGAGAATTTTTCACTCATATGGAGACGCCACCACTTGCCGGTGGAGAGCTGCAAATTTTGTCCTATACTCGGCACTTACGGCCATTGAGCAGTGAGGGATCTTTTTCGTGCCAGCACCTACTGCCACACGGGACCTCGGTTTATACGGTCTCATCCGAAGGACTGGTCTCCACGTCCCACAGTGGGATTCGAACCCGCGACGTAAGGATCAACTCCTTACCTCTCGACTCTAGAGCAGACGCTCTAACCACTGCGCCACGCGGGTGACTAACAGAAAAGAAGAAAATGCACAAATTCCGATTTTCATTCAAACCACTAGCACTTTCTGGATTTTCAAACATCCATGTTCAGCTGTAGATACATTTGAACTCATTTGTATGAAAATCCAGAAAGCGCAAGTGAAAAGAAATTTGGAAATTGCATTTTCTTTTATGATTATTTTTACTGTGTGTGACATCAACTTTTAACTACTTTCGAAAGATATATATATATATATATATATATATATATATATATATATATATATATATATATATATATATATATATATATATATATATATATATATATATATATATATAATAATAATAATAATAATAATAATAATAATAATAATAATATAAAAGTTTTTTTCCGAATTTAGCAAGCAAATCTAACACCCACCCCCCCCCCCATCCCACCCAAATTATTTATCTTTAAGAAAGAAAAGAAACTAACCAAGATACAGAAAATTATTTGTCTATATTTGGCCCCTGGAGTGGAAACCAAGATTTCCAAATATATATGTCGACTTACTCAGATATTCCTTTTGAAGTACAAAGGGTTATCTCTGCAGAGGACTTATCAGAGTTTGCACTTTAAAACTAATTCACCGATGAATTTTGCAGAAATGTCCCAAAATGGTAAGTGAATTGATACTGGATCTTGTTTCACTCAATGTTACTGCCTACATATCAAATTTACTACAATCAGTCCAATGCTGACTGACGATTTCATACTAATTGTCAGGCTATTATTTCCACACTGAATAGTCTAAGATTTTTTTCCGTTTTCCTGATCATAATAAGGAGCACACGGTGGATGTGACCGGTCGACAGGGGATGCTTACATCTTCATGGCACCTGATCCAATCTATGATGTTTTTTGTTTTTGTTTTTGTTTTTTTTTTTTTTTTGAAGTCCGTGTTTGCTCTGCTCCCGATTCGTTTTGTTTCAATGGATTTTTTAGTTTAACTATAAATTATTCGTTATTTCCATTTTTAACTACAATTAAGAAGTAATGGCCCTCTGATCTAGATTCTTCGACTTCCAATCATTGATTTTCATCATTTTAAATTGATGAAAATATTTATATCAAATGTTTTCAATCACTATCAAACATATAGGCCAAAAAAAAAAAGGTCGAAGTAAATGTTTGCGTCTTATGTTGGCTTTGTTTTAACTGAATATTTAAATGTCTTCTTTACTAAATTCTCGTAAAAAAACAGTGGACATTTTTAGATTATATTTACTTTGGAAGTTTTCTCTGTAATAAGAGGATAAGTCCCCCGTAAAGTACTATAATATAGTTCTCGAACGAATTTGAGTTTACAAAGCAAAGAAAAATAGATGCTTGCATTTAACATTTTGTTTCAAATTTTCATAAAGGCTTCCGTAAGAGGACATTTCTTTGAAAGTGTGGACTTATGGGGGATGCTGAGTGACAACAAGTTGACATAAGTTTAACTCCTTAATCATAGAAAACATTGCTAATGTCGACCCAAATCGGTGAAAAATTTATCTGATTTTCCTTTGCTAAAGCTTGCTCTGATGGGAAAATTACAACTAACATTACTGTTTTACTTTTAAATGTGACTTAAATGTAAACATGTAACCGCCTACGCAGCACAGTTAAGGTGCCAAATGGAAATATCGGCGAATTTTTTTAGATAGAAAATACATTCTTTACAAGGATGGGCATTTCTTTTTAGGACTTTACTATTATCGGACAAATGCAATGTGGTTGAAAACTAAATGTTGAGGACGATTAGATTTCTTATTAAGACATGTCACGTGATGTGACAGTCACGTGATTTTAGCAAATATATCTGAAGTATTAAGGTCATCTATAAATTCTAATATTGCAAGGGCATAACCAAGTTAAAAATCTAAGTTTAACATATAATTATTTTCAACACTCTTTGTAGTTTGTGAAAAGTGCTGCGAACCTATATAGATTAATACTATCTTATTGCTAAAATTACATTTGTTAGACCGTGTGTTGAATATTTTGCTGGTCAAGTACATTAAATATAGATATAATTAATTCATTTGCAAGATTTCAACAGGTTCGCAGCACTTTTCAAATATCTTCATACTTCTTGAGTTTATGTGTAAAAGCTTGTCATAATTCATTGAGGGTATGCCCTTGCAATATATCGATTTATTACGACCCTTCTATTACCCTTCAATGAATCTGCATACAAATATTCGACAGTATCGCTTGTCTAGGAAATGTACCTGAAGTATATGAATAAAATCATAAAACAGACATCGCATCCAGGTTAATGGCCTCTTATGTATCTACAATTTATTTTTATTTAATTACAAAATACATTTTTCATTGTATAAATATAACTTGATCCGCCTCTCACTGCATACAAACTGCGTCAAATTTTCCGATATGACGTCACATTGACAAGTGCATTGCGATCAGTGAATTGTTTATATATTGCTGTGTGGGATTTAACCAACGACAATAATGCATGCACTGGTTAGTATTGATGTAGTTTAAAGTTATTCATAAGTTTAAAATAGCAAATCATTTCATTTTGTGGTAATTTGAAGAACTTATATTTTTGTGTGATGTCATAGTAAGCATTTCCCGTATAAATTAGGCCCCGCCTCCTTACTGCAGCCTTAACTGTGCTGCGTACTGATAAACCAAACTATTTAAAGATTTGTAAAAAACAGAGAAAAGGATGATATGATGACCATTCTCAAACTAATTGCTCTTAAGAAATCTTTTCAACTATAATAAGCGATAGATTTTTTGTGAGTTTGTTGTCTTATTTTATCTTTTTTTTATTTCCTTGACAGACCCAACACGTGTACTTGCTTTTTTCAGCGTTTTTCTAGTTTTAATACAAGGTAAAATTTAATTAATATATCCTTTGTATCATCGAAAGCTCATCAACTTCAAGAGTAACTGCAATACAAACATTATCCAAAGCTTGTTATATTGAATTGCAATTGACAGGGGCAGTATACTATCATTAGGCATAAACTTGAGAATGTAAGAGGTTTTGTTTTTATATATTTATATCCCGGGAACTATTTTCAGTGTAATAAACCAGTTTGAAGAATATTGAAAAAAAAATGAAGGGGGAAAAGGGAGAAAATCATCCTTGTGTAAAATGGGAAACATATTTTTAAAAATAACAATTCTCACCCCCCCCCCCCCCCGTGTTTTCTCCATCTTAAGACTGTTATACTTTAACTTTGAAACTTGACAAGCCTGCTTTTTGAAAATGACTTATATGTTTTGTTTAATTGTACAGGATATGACGCAGTGGGAAACTTGTTTTTCCTGTGATTACGTCACTGATACTTCTGCTTGTTACAGACACACAAAAGTTTGTCAGCCACAAGAGGTAAGTACTAACAGATATGGTGATTTACACAGGGGAGAAGGAAAAAAGAGGTGCGGGCGGGGGGGTTATTACAGTGTTAGGACCCAGGTCCTATCCGATTAAATTGGAGATCCATAAAAAGTACATATATGTTCCTGGAATACAATTTTGATCTAAATTACAAATGTAATACTTTAATTTAATCTTAAACTTCGGTTGCTCATTTTGTTTGCTTTGTTTAGATACGATAGAGTAATGAGCTTCAATATTAAATCATGAGCTCATTTTTAGGAAAGATGGCTTTGATATTATAAGATTAATTTTTTCCAAGGTATAAGACCCATAATAGCCTGCGCTTACAAGGATTGACCTTTAAAATGGTAGACATATCTTGTCTGCTTGTCTACTGTCATACTTTGTCTACTTTTGTCAATCTTGACATGAGTTATATCAAGGATTTTTTTTTTTTTTTGGGGGGGGGGGGGGAGTATATTTTGGATAATAAATCATTTAGCATGACTCAAAATCGAAAAGAAAATTTGGAGTCAGTGCATCTTACTGAGCAACAATACAATGAAGTTGACTTTTATTTTTACTTATATTGGAATTTTTAGATTAATCACTTTAACCTTAATCATTTTTTACCAAATGTAATTACGGCAATTGATATAATCTTATTTTATGTAAAATAGTTTGAATAAAATTAAATATTAAAAACAAATCCTGCAAATTAATGCGCGTAAATAATTGCGTGAACTTTTTGCACTAAACATATCATATTTGGGGTATTAAAAATTTTAATAGGCATTGGAATATTTCTTTGTATCAAGCTTTTTATGACTTAAGTGCTGATCGGTTGAAAACGTCCTGAAGTTTAATATAATGAAAGAAAAAGTAAGGGCCAGTGATTTCATTTTTTAGATTTTGGTCAAAATATGCGATTTTCAGTCAAAACACAAATTAAATTTTACATTTACTTATTCAATTTATCTTCATTTCTTTGCAAAGTCTGTAGAGTGAATGTGTAAAATTGTTTTTAAAATATTAGTTGAAATCTATACGCAATATTCCTAGCTTATAAATAAAAGGTTTCCCATTAAATATAAGTAGGACTAATTTTCTAAAATATTAAAATAAACAAATGTGCAAATTTGATAAATTTTCTTCGAAATATCCTACAAGAAATATTCTTCCGAAAATTTTTCTTTATGGTTTTGTGAGCAGTTTTTAAATTGAATATTGTATAATTTGCATTGTAAAATTAAAAAAATCTTACAAATATTGAATTATAATAAATGATTTTGAAGTTAAAGGTTATAACCAAACTTTCCTCAAAAGCTGACGAGTGATATACATGTACCATAAGATAGAAAATTATTTTCAATAAAAAAGCGTTGGCTAAGATTTTCAAGTACAATTCTCACTAAGCGGAGGAGAGATACCCCCCTCTTTTTTTTAAGGGACACCACTCTATCGCAGGTTAACTTCCAGCTTAAACTGGTACCCATTCAGCTGGGTGGACTGAGGCAATATAAATTAATTGCTTTTTCTATGGACACATCATCAAATGCCCATATTTTGATTTAAACCAGGCTATTGGCCAAAACCTATAGCCACTAAGCCACACCTTTCCAGGTTAATGTTCCTTAGACTCTCTTTGACTTTTTAATTTTTTTCTAAATATGATAAAAGTTTTTTAGGCTTTTCCAACCTGGAGAATATTAGATATACCGTATAATGGTTATTTTTCTGTGGTCGGAAATTATGCGATTTGAACCCTTTAAAGAAAGCAAATTATTTTCTGCTTTTTTATTATTTCTGCGGTTGCAATAATCCACAAAAACTCATTTAGAGGACAACCGCATATTAAGGATTTGATAGAACACTGAAACACTTTAGGCATTTTAATATAAGAAGGCATGTTGGCCGAGTTCAGGGTGAATCACGTCAAACATTAGCTCTGCTGCTCTACTGTGTTTAATTAAGTGCTAAAAAACATTTATTTCAAACACCCAGTAAGCAATTTATTATTTCATTTTATTCTTTTTTATACAACTTTGCAGTTATAAGCTGTAAAATTACAGGTTATAATAAGCTATAAACAACCTTGCAGTCATCCCCACATACCACATTTGAGAATTAAAGATGATGCATTTATTTTTATCGTAAGTAATTTGTCAAAAAACTTTGCAAGTGGAATCTTTGCAGATTTGTCTAATTCGCGAAATTCCGCAACAATTAGACAACCGCAGAAAATACCCGTTATACGATATGTTTTATTCTATGTAATATCATATCAATTTTCTCTAAATATTGGATTTAATGTTCAAATGTTTTCTCAGAAATTATTAAAAGGCCCCTTTCTAGTTTATTTTTACTTGACTGTGGAGTGCTGCGTCTGCCTGATCTATACATAGGGCTCACGGCGGGTCTGTCCAGTCAACAGGGGATGTTTACTTCTCCTAGGTACCTGATACCACCTCTGGAGTTTCCGGGGGTTCGTATTTTGTACACATATTTGTTTGATATTTTATATTTATTTATTATTTTTTTTATAGATTTGTTATTCTTCAACAACTCTAGACGAATTCGGAGTATCACGTCACAGCTCTGGGTGTATATCGAAACAGGTACTGTACATCTGTATTTTATGACTAGACGTGCTTATGCACTGGTATGGTCAAAGAACTTAAAAACATTCCCAGCTACATAGATATTATTTTATTATGCTGTTCCCTTCTATCTGATTAAACTCAACATGTATGTATTTTTCTTCAAAAAGGAGTAAAATGTTCAAAAAAAAAAAAACAAAAAAAAACTAGGAAACTCTTATCTAAGATTAATAATAATCAAAAATAATTTAAACCAGTCGTATCCACAATCTAATAATTGATTTTTCTTTTAAGCTATACCATAGAAATTGTAAGCGTTTTAAGACTGAATTACATTAAGATATATACGAGTAGTTAAGAAGCAAATAGAGGATTCATTTCAAAATTCAATTAATCTTTATATCGTTTATCATTCAAACTACAAATGCATTTTGTTTGCCTTTGAGATGATTTTACATCTAATAAACTCTCTCTCTCTCTCGATCGATCGATCGATCGATCGATTCATAAGTGCATGATTTCTGCAATAGATTTGACATATCTCTAACTCCTTCACGACTGATTCACCAATTATTGGAAATCTGATTGGCCGCCGTTCAACATCTACCTGTTTCCGGTGCTGTTCGATTGATACCAAATTAAATTTACCCTGTGACCAAAATTCTTGTCATCAGCCAGGTAAAACGAGTTATAGTATTAATGCCTTTCAATGTCCTTAAACAAACAAAGGGAAAAAACCAAAACAGAAAAAAAAAAACCAAAACCAACAAACAAACAAACAAAAAGAAATACAAACCAAAAACGAAAAAAAAAAACAACAACCAAAAACAAAAATAAAAACCAAACAAGCAAACAAACCCCCAAAAAAGCTGTAAAGCCCATGTAAATGGAATATGTGCATTACTGTTAAATTTACATGTATCTTTATCACTGAGCAATGAAATATGTTCTAGGATGAAATTTTAAATAGACTACTTACTGATATGATTAATGGATCTGTCCAAAGAATGGCCCAAGATCAACTGGCCAAGATTGAAGTCAGAGTAGAAGGAAAGATATTAAAGATTAAAAAAGACTATACTTTAGTACAAGGAAAAATTTATAGATGTTTTCATTGATGGTGAGAAAAGGAAAATTATGAAAATTGTCATATCATATGAAACTAGCATTGAAAAGAAGTGAGAAAAAATATGATAAAACTTATGTTTTATTTTCTTTCTCAAAAGACCCATTGAAAATATTTTACACTGACCAACCTAGTTACATAACGAAGGGGTCTGAAGTTCATCTGACATGCTTAGTGATTGGTGGAACCCATCCTGATATAACTTGGATCGGGGTACGTTTTGAATAACTTTTGCATACTTATATGTTAAGTGTACTTTGCCAAATTGTAAACGGCTTTTATCATGTGTTTCATTTAATAACAATCATATATTTTAATCCTATTTTTTCAGCCTCTGGGGACACTTCCAATACATTCTCACACAACAAATGACGACATAACACTGGTTATTCCTAACTTTGACGATTCCCATTCAGGTCAATATATCTGTTTAGTGTCTGATGGTTCACAGTTTGTTAATCATATTTTCAACTTGATCGTCGACGCTGAACACTCGTGCAAACTTCCCACACAGACACTACCGACACAAGTCACGTCTTTAAATACATTACCAATAGTGACCAAAGGTAAATAAATTAATTTTGCGTGTAGGGGCTTTTAATCCTTAATTTTTTGGCAGTCCTTTATTTGTACAGAATGAATTATAGATATTGTGTGTTTTGTTCCTATGTACTTACATGTAATTTTAGTGTCTATAAATTTTCGCCAAAGTATGTTATAGGAATAAAGTTAGCGTTTTCGTGAATGTTGCAAGAAAACCTCCGAGGTCGAGAAGTGTTGTTTTGAAATATAAAAGCCAAGGTGTTAGCCCAGGTTTTTTAATATTTCAAACAACATTTTCAGTCCGAGGAGATTATAGTACATCATTGACGACAACAAGAACTTTATTTCTATTCTATTAATAGCTCTTAAATGCTGCTGATCGTTTCTTCTATAGAGAAATTAATAAGGTCAAAATTTCCAACTAACACCAGAGGTCAGCTTTTTTACTTCGATTGCGTTGGAATGCAGAGATTTCAGCTTTCTTTGGATAAAAAATATCCTTTAATTATTTTTAAGTTTGTGTAACATATTGATTATTTTATGATTTATGATTGTAAATAGGCAAAATTAATTATTAATTTTATTGCTTTATCAGTAAAATCATGGAATAAAAATGTTCTGGGGATGTCGGTGGAAGAGCCCTATTTAACATTTATCAATTGCTTTAGCCAATACATACAGTTTAGACTGCAGAATACGATATGGTCAAAATAAGTATCACATTCTAAAATCAAATATTCATTTCACCTTTACAAGTGTAATACATATGGGTATCTTATCTGATAATCTTTTGATGACGATTTTGATTTTATTGGAGAATAATGTCCGCGGCAATAACTGTAATAGAATTTACAATAAAACTTAATAAAGAACTCGCTTACGAATTTACCCTGCAAGTTCTTTTGCATTGTGAATCTCAAAATGTACAGAAATAAACTATCTTTTCTATTAATATAAGATTTTAACAAAGCATGAATGTGCAAGTGTTCGAGAATTAAAAGTTAAAATCATGATAGTTTATATATATATATATTATATATATATATATATATATATATATATATATATATATATATATATATATATATATATATATATATATATATATATATATATATATACGTGATAACTGATATGTTTTCATAAAAACATTTACTTTTGTTTAAGCGCCAGGGCCTCCTCATATCGTATCAGTAAATGTTGTTCCAAATATCATTCGTTACGGTGACAATGTTGTAGCAACTTGTAACGTGATCAGCTACCCACCGTACGACATTTTCAGCTGGAGTATGATGGTACCGGTAATGTATTTCAAATTTAATTTTATTTCTCTTAAATATACAAAACATAATATTGCTGATACATTGCTACCCATCTGTTCATTTAAATAGAATTTTTAATTATCTATGACATTTTTCTTAACAGGTTGGTGATGAAAATTCATAAGAATACATTGCAAAGGCTTATTTTCTTGTCCACCTTTGCAAAGAGTCAATCGTTTCAAGCAACTTTAAATTTTCTTGAAATTAATGTTAAAAATAATCTGCCCCTTTAAAACTCAAAATCTAGTGATTTAATTTAGTAATGATCTTTTTTATCAAGGCAAGCGGGGTCCCGCCAAACACCAAATCAGTTCCTGGTAATAATTCTGCAGTTCTCCACATCAACAATTTCCAGAAGATTAATGAAGCTCAATATAGGTGTTTTGTGAAAAATTCATTTGGATACGACGTTAGTTTGGTTAACATTACTACACCACACAGATCCCAATAATAACAATTGGACAAAACTGGTAGTTGATATGTGCATATCAATGACTGTATTTTAATTCGTTTATATTTGATAAGTACCTATATAAATTATTGACAAACCTATAACAAAACCTTTTAGCCCTTGAGTCCCAACTGAACTATTTCCTTTGCTCCAAATACAATGCTGGTTATAACTCATAATAACGTGTTATATATATGGAGATGTACATTTTCTCCTAATTGGGTGTGAGCAGTCACGGTAGCCTAGTGGTAGGGCGTCGATTCGTAATCGGAAGGCCCGGAATCAATTCTTGTTCGCCGTGCCACGTCAAAACTAAGACGGAAACATAGATAGTTACTCTTCCTTCGCCAAGGGCCCGGCATAAGAAGTGAGCGTCACGGGTCTTCCGGATGAGACCCTAAAAACCGTGTCACGGTAGGCGTTCGCACGATAAAGAACCATCACTGCTGAATGGCCCTGAGTTCCTAGTACAGGTCTAAATAAATAGTATCGTCGACTTATATCAAGCTTCATTCATTCAATCGGATTATAGAAAAGGGAATTTGATAATTAACCAACTTTAATCTTCAACCATGTAAATTTTTTCACCTGTCCAATATACCTGCATTGCAGTCATCAATATTATGCTCTTATCTACGCAATTTGGATTTAACGGGTTGGTAATTAACAATTTGTTTGTGAACATACGTCATCAAGCAATATTTAGAGGATTAACTGGTTTCAAATATCCCGAAAGTTGCACAAGTTTTGTGTTAAACGTCGATAGATTTTCAAAATTACAGGAAAAAAAGGAGCATTGAGACTTTACCCCTTGAAGGAAATGACACTGATAGTACTTGGATTTCAGCGAGTAGATTTTGATATTGTAGCCATATAGTTCCAATGAAAGGCAATGTCGTTTAACACTCATATAACGTGACCACTTCTTGTGGCTCGTAATCATCGAATGTGAAATTAATTATAACAAGTTATAAATAAAATAGCAATAAAAAGCCCCTCGTTAGCTCGATATAAAAAATACATCATAATTAATACGCAGTACGACATACCTATCAATAAGAAATAGCAAAAATTGTTTTAGAGGTTGTATTTTACTTGAAATATTGAAGCTTTACTTCAATTAATTTCCAACTATTTTTATTTATGACGAAAGAATTTTTGAACTATCAATTGAAAGCAATTACGACACAGCCTCTAGGTTTACTTCCGGTACACTCTCACACGGAAAATGGAGGAAAAAAATATGGTCAAAGTGACGAACCAGACGACACACAATACGTATATGTGGCCTCCGATGGACAACAGTGGTTGTATTTACTGTTGAAGTCAACGCATCTGTACTTCTTATGACTACGATGACCCATTAAACAAGACATACACATGTTACGCATCCATCTACCACGCACAGGCAACTAACAACACATAGAAAAACACCATTGACGCATTTTACCAAGGCTTCGAAGTACCGGCTGACGCATGGCACAACATATCTTATAAATCCGAAATCTTATTCAACAACAATATACGCTGTACTTTACAGATAGCACTGTATATCCATTTGAAAAAGTAAAGAGTGTCGTCATAAGTAAATCTACGACTTCTGTTACGTCAAAACATTTTCTGATGTGTTGTCCAGTCACAATTATAACAAAGGGGCATAATCTATAAGTTAAATATCTTTATAAAATTATTTTCCAGTCATAAACATAATTGTTTAAAAATTTCCCATCGTTCTCTCAATACAATTGACTTTTTGTAGGTACAAAATCACACATAACTATTACAGAAATTATTCCAGCGTCCTATTTTTATAGTGACAACATGATTGTAATATGTCACATAACATCTGAACGGCCCTACGCAATATGCATATAATGATCTTTACTATTACTTTTTAAGATAGTTTGCGCTGCTGTGCATAATTCATCAACAGTGAACTTAAATCATAAAGAACATGATAAGAAATTTGGACTGCCTTGTGGTCCTTATTTGTTTGTGTTGCTCTGCAAATATGTATTTTTTTTTAAAATTACTTTGATCTTAAAATTCGTTTCAAGCTCTTTAACTCAGATCATTATTGGTTATAAAATGTACATTTTGATAAATTACTCTTAAAGTTTGTACACAAATGCTACAAATTTCAATTACGGTGTACACCCGTAATATGATTATGTTTAATAACAAGGATTTTTTTATTTTTTTTTAATTCTCTGTGCTTTTATGCGAAATATTATTAAACTAAAATGGATAAAACAAATATTTTTTTTTTCTTTTCATAATAAATATATATTTTTATTTATGATTAGAAAAATATTCTCTACAATTAAAGTGTATTGTTTTTCTGGAAGTTATTGACAGATTTCATTTAAACTTTTTTGATGCTATTCTCGAAATGCTTGTGTTTAATTTCTTCAGGTTTAAACCTCGAACTTGCCTAGGAATGGGTACAAGAGGACCACAAAAAACGCCGTTTTGTCAGTTGACAATTTCCAAGCTGTAAACGAGGCGGTATACTAGTAGTCAATGCGTCAGGCTTTGACTCTCATAATATTATCAGTGATAAACTTGTATACATCACAAATATTCTATGAATTTGCGTTTCTTCCAAAAAAGTCATCATTTAAATAAATTCTAATTAGAAAAGCAAATTTCCGTTTTAAACTTTTATTTCTTAAGTATAAACCGTTCACGGTAGCTCAGTCGGTAGAGCGCTCGCTTCGTGATCGGGAGGTCGTGAGTTCGAATCCCGGCCGCGACTGACCTAAGTCGATAAAAAATGGGTAGCAACTGTTCCTTCGCCATGCGCTCGGCACTTTGAAGTGAAAGTTGCGGGTCCTTCGGATGAGACCTTAAGAACCGAGGCCCCGTGTAACGGTAGGCGTTGGCACGATAAAGATCCCTCACTGCTCAATGGCCCTGAGTGCCGAGTAAAGGTCAAAATTTGAAGCCCTTCACCGGTATATGGTGACGTCTCTATATGACTGAAAAATTCTCGAATGGGACGTAAAACAGCATACAATCAATCAATCTTAAGTATAAAAATCAATGCTCTTAAAATGACACAGAATTTGATTATGTTTGTATGTCAATTGCTTAAATAGGTAAAAAAGTTTCTTTTTTTTAAATCTGGTACAAACAATCCCGTTTCAGTACAATGATTTTCTATGAAGTCAAATGCATGCGATACTATTGTTTGTCGATACGAACAGTAACTTTTTTAAAATTACCGGTCAATGCAATTTTCTCAGTTTTCTTAACGGTACACCCGTGTTTCATTACCAATATGTCATCTAAAATAGTACGTACATTTCAAATTGAAATGCAACAAATATTTGAAATACATTTACTTCCGACTTGGTCCATTTTGAAACTCTTAGCTTCAAATTGCAAAATCTCTACTGAATTACTGGGAAATGTTCGCCCCGTTTTATTTTTGCTCCTTTCCTGCTGGTAGTCATTTGACGAATTGAAAAGGCATTGAGTTCAAAAGAACTTTCTCATCGTAATTATGTGTTGGCAAATTCAAAAGAAAGTTAAACTGTTTGCAAGTATAATAGGACGAAAATAATAGTCCTTTATAGTTTTTGATAGTCCATATTTCACAACTACTAAGGTGTACGTATTATCATTAACAGGTTGTAACTTGTTTGCAGATCACTTGGTGTATCCTTTCATTCTTCTTTACAACTTTTCTCAAGTAATGTTATAGGGATATTGAAATATTATTTTATTTTTAGTTGAGTGCATAAATTTCCTGTTTTTCGATGATCCATCCTAACATTAAAGATGACATGATAATGATTTAAAGTTGCTTCTGTTGAAGTCTGACAATGCGTTTATCCTCCAATTTAGTTCAGAAAGGTTTAATTTTCTACAGAACATTTATTCCAGATATCAAAACAGCAAACATTAAAAGAACGACACCAGCAAATTACATATAATAAAAGAAACTTATCCTAGATATCATTCCCCTGTAATAATTATAATCTAAAATGCATCTTGGAACTAAAAGGATGCCAAGAGAGGGTTTCAAATAGAAACAGTAATATATTTGTATTAAATTAGACATAAATAACAATTTAAATTTAAAGGAATCTTCATTTTAATGAAAATCATTCTCTAGAGTATTGTGCAAGAATTACAAGTCCCCTCTTTGTATTTGTTGTCCGGTTCCGCTTAAAAATATGTACAAGTTCGAGGCTGTACATAACATAAAATAATAAAATCATCAAAGCAAAGCTTGATCTGTAACATACCAACGGACTGAAGTACCAAAAATCACCTCGGTTCTGTGAAATCACTTATTTTCTTGGGATCAATTTTTAGTGGTTTGAGGACAAAATATTTGATCGTGGATATTTGATTCCATTGTGTAGTTGTTATATATTCAGAAAATCAACAATTCGTTGAGGACATGTCTGTAGCACATATCAAAAAATTTTTGGAAAACCAAGCCAGTGGGAACGACTGACTGAGAGAGAGAGGAAAGAAAAACGAATGAAAAGATAGAAAGGATACATATAGTTCAATAATGTTTTAGTAGTAGTACAAACCCAATACCCACCCTGTATTTTTCATACAGTGTATGTGGATTTGGGTTTATATTTGAAAGATACAGGAAATGGAGTAACAATCACAGGAAACTAAAACTATACACGTTCTATAAATATTTCCATTAAATATACTTCTTTCATGATTTGGGATCCGATATAATGCATTCAATAAGAAGACAATAAGAAGAAAACAGTCATTTATCAAAATAATAAAACCACAACCTTGTGCAAGCATGGACTTGTCAAAAATATATCTCCAATCTTTGTCAAAACAGTCTACAAGAGCGTGCAAATACATGTTTATATATATATATATATATATATATATATATATATATATATATATATATATATATATATATATATATATATATATATATATATATATATATATATATAAAAGAATCAATAAAAGAAACCTTTTCAACTATTTTTAATTCAAACCAACACAATTCTCAAATATTTCTTGTTAGTCTTTACTTAGTGGGGGGAATGTAGTGTAACATTGCGGACATCCTGTCCTAATGCGTTGTGAACAAAGCATTGATATCCCCCAACATTCGGAGGTTGAAAGTTTTGGATGTCAACAATTACATAATTTGTACCGTAATTTAGGTGAATATTCGATGGAATATTTGCAGGATCTGTCTGAAAAAAAGAGTTAATTTGAAAATTAATTCTTAATTACTTGATTGATATGTTTTCCATCGTGTACTTTATTCTCACTACTTCAACAAAAAAATTAATTTAGATTAAAAATGATTAAACTATGTAGATAAAGGACAAAATAGGCTAAGACCCCTTTTTGGCCCCTGGTTTGAGGTGTCTTTTAGAATTATGCAACAGTTTATCAATAAAAACCTGTTGTGACCCCTGCCACAAAATAAGTATTGGCTCTACGTTATGGGATACACAGAGGTCACAAAAAGGTAGGAAAATATGCCATTTTCCGAATTTTCTCATTTTTATGCAAATTTTTATCGATTTTACAACACATTTTGTTTCAGAAACATTGAGCACAAACTTGCCTATCTGCCAAATTTTATATATTTCATAAACTAGCATCATATGCATCTTATGTATAAGAATCTCAGATAGGCAAGCTTGTGCTATATGTTTCCCGAAGTAAAAAGTATCTCAAATTTGACGAAATTCCACCAGAATTGAGGAAATTCGGGAAAATGTCCTTCTTCTGCACCCTCTTGTGGTCTTCTTGTAAGCTTTAAATCAAAATAATTAATGATGGTTTTAAAACAAGCATCATTTTAAGTTCCTAACTACAAACTATTACAATTTTAACTGTGTTCTGATTTTTACATCAAATAAGGGGCCCGATTCGGTCGTTACCATACCTTGTCCTTTCAATATTTTCAAAAAAAAGTAAATTCAATGCTTATTCTATTATTCTCATGCGATTTCTGCTAGGCAAAATGTTACTTCTAATTTATATAACATTACCGATAGAATTTATGTTTTAATCTACTTTTTCTTTTGGTATATTCGAATAACTCTTTTCATTAAATGTGTAAGTTGTTTTGAACAGATCTTCAACAAAAAATTACAACATATTAATAACGCAGATCTGTTTGAATTTTCTCTACGGCTGTTCATTTATCAATGTCTTGAGGAATTCGGCGTTACATGTAACTATACCTATTAAAGAATTCTATTTATTATTGAACATTTTCTTTATCAAGTTGAAACTGCAGATAATTTTTTTTGTAAATGAACCTTGTCCTTTATACAAGTTTTATTTTCACATCACGAACACGTAATATCATCAAGCATTTCCTAGTTTGTGCATTGTCTTTTGTTTTTGTTTGTTTGTCTGTCTGTCTGTTTTTTTTTTTTTTTTTTTTTTTTTTTTTTTTTAAATGATATCCTGAAGTGAATCTTACTCTCATATGCACGGTATCATTTTTTAGGCAATCTCTGTATCTATACATGTAGATGTATTTTCAACCATAAACCTTCATCAAAGATAATAATAACTACTGTACCATCATATTCCATCCAAGAACGTCTTGTTTTGGATTGCTTTCTATCGTACAGATCAGTTGCACGTTGTCTCCATACCGATAATGTCTGGGCTTTATAAGAGTGGAGATAATTTTCGGTGGACCTGAAGCTATGGTAAAGTAACCACATTAGTATATTAACGTCACATATTAATTTAAACATATACAATAACAATGTGCAGCAGAGGTAGAAAAGAACGAAGTATATGAATTGTTATCATTTCTAAAATACAAGCGATTCATTTTTCAGAAATTCTCAGACTATTTCAAAACATTTTCCCAAATCCTAAAGCTCAGGTTTTCACAAAATATCAAGATCATATGCCCTACGTTATAAACAAATCACAAATCAGAGAAAGGAGGTGCACTGCCAGAATATAGCACTGGTACCAAATATTTAGAGGATTGTAAATCTTAAATCTACTCCAACTCTTCTTGAAAATCAAAACTATTAGAGATTCCCTCTTTGATAAAAATTTTTCTTAGATGCTACATGTAAGTATACAAAACATTTGTCTCTTACTTTCATTTAAGTGATTTGTCTTTCTCTGCTTTAAAAATTACGTGTTTCAAAAGAGAAAGTACTATTACAAAATATTAAGAAAAACATAAACAGGAAAGAAAGAATTCATTCTTTCGTGCATTTTTCATTGTTTTTCGTAAGAGTAAGCCTTAATTTACTTCCCATTTCTAAACAAACACTATCTTAGAACTCACTGAAAACAAAGGATGTTCTCAATTTTAACGTTTTGGATCTGTAGATGGTGTGGGTTTGGCGGTGGTGGAGGGGATTTGGGTGTGATAGTGGTGGTGGAGGGGATTTGGGTGTGATAATGGTGATGGAGGGGATTTGGGTGTGATATGGGGTGGAGGGGATTTGGGTGTGATAGTGGTGGTTGATCTGTGTGGTGGTGGTGGAAATTGTGAGTGAGAGTGGTGGTATAATATGGGGTGGAGGGGATTTGGGTGTGATAGTGGTGGTTGATCTGTGTGGTGGTGGTGGAAATTGTGAGTGAGAGTGGTGGTATAAATAAAGTAAGTTACTTGTGGCTTACTCTTACGAAAAACTACAACATTACTCTATCCCAAAATTTAACTAGTTCTAAACAAGCGAGAACATTGAGCTTTATACGAACAAATGATCCTTGCAGTTCTTACGTTTAGGAGTGGTAGTTGGTGTTGTTGGTGTAGTTGGAGTTGTCGTGGTGGTAGTGGTAGTAGGTTTTGGGGTAGTGGTGGTGGTCGTGGTTGTCGTCGTAGTTGTCGTCGTTGTCGTTGTTTTCCTGGTTGTAGTGGTTGTGTGAATGATTGGAGGGTATGTATTTAAGGAACATTCCATGTTACACAAATTGCCTTTACAGCAATTGCTACATATAGTTCCATACGCTGGTGTGCAATTCTGTAGTTTCATTAAAATTAATCATCGGGATAAGCTGTTTATCAATTTAATACTTTGCTAATTATCATAAATCAGAAATTTTTGGCTACTAATTAATACGAGAACTCAGGCGGAGGCTAAACTCGTTTTAATTGCTTAGTTTCCTTAATAAATAGTATTATAGATTTTGTTTGAAATTACTATTAACCAAAATTGTCACGCATTACGAAATTGTTGATAGTGGCTCAAAAATGATTCATTAAACAGTCAAATATTCTTTTTTTTAATTTCATGATTAAATACCCCGAGGAGGTAAACTCTTCTTACAAAATAAATATAAATTAATACATTTAATTAAGCTCGTCTAGCATAAACTTTTGAAATTATATCCTCGAGATGTGATTCCTTAAACAAAACTTCTTCGTGTTTAGGTGTATCATGAACCGTAAGGTACATTTTAGCAACAAATCAAGGAATAAATAAATAAATTTATTAATTAATAAATCTTTTGTATTTTGATCCAATAAATTATTCTACTGATCACCATTAAAGAAATGAATAAGGGATACCTGACTACTCCAATAAGCCTGATTGATACACTACTATTTTTTTTGGTTTTCTTAGGGAATTTTTTTTTAATTATTACGTTTATAAATTCAGATATGACGAATTTTTAATGATAAATTTAAACATTTATAAAGGTACATGTCTGCTAACATTTATGAAGGTATTTAAACATTTATAAAGGTGCGTGAACATTTGTATTTATAAAGGTATGTGAACATTTATAAAGATATGTGAACATTTGTATTTATAAAGCTATGTGAACATTAGTATTTATGAATTAAAGGTATTCCAATATATATTTACCTGTGCCGTCTGGGCACAACCAGTTTCCCAAACATACGTAAAACCGACGGCTGGCTTTGTTTTATGAATGTAACATTGCTGAAGTTGAAAAGAGTATTAAAGAGATCAGATATAAATCCAAGTAATTATTATAAGTACCAAATTCACCAATGAAAAAATATGATGCCTAAATGGATGATTTACCATTCTTAAATGATAAGGGAAATATCACTTTTATTATTAGTGTAAAATTTACAATTCAAAATTTTCTTGTTCTTTATAAATGGCATCGCAATAAAAAAATAATATTATTTATATCATTTCCAAATATTGTATCATAGGTGGTTTAAATTTTGATCTCAGAATATCAGAATTTAATTAATGTCACCTATTATCATTACATATGTATATATTATAGTTTTTGTAAGCCACTGAAATTAATTCCATATGAAGTATGCGTGAAAGAAACAATATAAGATTATCATTAAAAAAGCAGATTCAAACTTCGATATAAAAAGTAGTGTAAGAAAAGCATTGCTGTAATAAGTGAGGGGAAGTAATTAAAGAAATTTTAATGGCTTAAAAAAGCACAAGTTGAAAACTGTAAATCACTTGCCACAAAAAAATCCACATTTAAGGATCACAAATCTGATACCCACCCTGTCCTGGTAACACAAGGTGACTCGATCACAGCTATCTGGAGTCAACTGCTGGCTACATTTAAAACAAAGACGTCCGTTGTAATAATTGAAATCTGCAGGCGAGAAAAACCAAATCAATATATTTGCTTTCTGTGCAAATCTTAAGCAAAAGATATATGAAATAATATATTTTAGGCAAACAAATATGAATAGTACATAATTATGTATTTTAAAAAAAATGTAAATGGATTTTGAAACAATGATCAAGATCTCATGAAATCTAATTCCTGCTAATCAAAGACCTGATTATTAGAATATAAAAATTGACTTTTATTCTTTTACCCTTACCCTGAAAAAAATGTTTAATATATGCATTACTTATTGTATGCAATTGTGTTTGCTTCAAATTGTATGATGTGAAATGGTATGCCTTAAACATGAGTGAATACGATTTGAAAGAGAGGAGACAGAATGGTGTACACGTATGTTTAGAATTTAAACCCCATGTTAAACATCGGGAATTATCAAGGGGAAACCTCTAAAATATCATTGATTTACAAGAAGAAAGTCATACCCTGCACTCCGCATGCGCCGCCATTATTACACACTGTTCTGTTACAACATGATTCACACACAATTATCCGACCATCGTCATCGTCTTCGTCAAGGTCAAATGTTAAGGTTTCAGGGTCAAGGTTTTGAACTCTGACCTTCCTTTTTCCTATAATAGGGACTGGTGGTCCATTTGCACCGGCTTGGCACACCTACCGTTTACTTTTTTTATTAGTTCAGGTAAGCATGGTGAAAAATGGTAATTCTTTCAAAGAATTATAATAATGTATATCATAAACAATGTTGGCTGTTCTTTTTACATTTAGATCGAGATACAGGAAACAAATAAAAAAATAAAAACAAGATGTGCTTGTGAAACACTATGCCCCCGATGATAACACAATTCTGGAGTGGGATGTAGACTACAGGGCAATGGTTAGGGCCAATGTTAAAGTTTTTCAAATGTAGGCCAAAGGTCACAGTTGAGGTCACATGATCAAAAAATTCTGTACCAATGGAAAGGCCTTGTCATAATGAACACTCATGTCAAATATTAAAGTCTTACCCTTGACAGCGCAATAGTTATTGGATAGGTTAAAGTTGACAACAAACAGACAGACAAACAGACAGACAGGACAAAAACAATATATCCCCGGGATCTTTCGATCCGGGGGCATAAAAACATTCCAATTCCAGTCTATTAATAATATTTTGATTTTTTTCATGGAGGTTTATGGTTAAATTTGGCTGGAATTACCACTCAACATAGCATAGAAAGGGATATTTTTTAATCATTTCCTGAAATAATGAATTTGCAATGCTACAAACTAATATATCGTCCTATGTTTCGATATCAAATATCCAGTTAGGACCAGATCATAACGTGAAGAGGAAAATGAAAAACATAATATTCATTAAGACGTATGTGCACCATTTCAGAAAAAGTTTTAAATTTCAATAAAACCATATGGAAAATAATGTGTTTTACAATATTTTTTGAGTTTCTACATATTTGTTTAAGATAGCTTGAATGTTTTTATTTATGTACTGAGGCAAGCTTAAAACTTCTTGTTTGTTAATATGCACGGAAGAAGTGAATAAAATGTAGTCGTGGGTTGTTAAAAAATAGATGAATGTATCATATGTAAGAGTAATGGGTTATACTTACAATATTGCTTTGGCAGCCTAGATCATACCATATTGTATTATGTCTCAAGTATTGCTGCATGTAGCATTGCTATATGCCAGAATGAAAATAGAAATACACATAATAAATAACCTTAATTGAATACCAAAAAAGCATTGAAACTTGTGACAGAACAAAAGCTCTCTATTAAAAATCACAGGTTGTATCGGAAATTTGACTGGATTTAAGAGTTCTACTCTTCAGCTACTTTCCAGACCTTTCAGTGAAAATTGCGTATTTTCATTCTATGTATTTATCAATATACTGTATATTTTTAGTTTAATGAAACAGTAGTAAAGCTACACTTACATATTGATATATATTTATCATTTTTGTCATAAAGCACACAAATAAAAAGAATTCTATACTCATAGTAGAAGATATTGCTGTATACAGATATAAAATGATGAAGTATTGATTTAACAATTACATGTTCTATGTTGTATTATGAGGGATACATGTATAACAGTTGCAAAATTGCAGGGAAAAAATCATAATATGTATTCGATTGTTTCGTTTTTTTTTTTTCTGCATGCAAAGATTTCATGCTTCATACACCATACAATACAACAAAGAGATACATTTTATTTCTTTCAATATTTTATCCCCTTTTTTCATATAGAGTGAGTGAAAGTTAAATTTAATATTGTATTCATCCGTTATTTTTTTTTCAAACGTGAAATTACAAAAGGCTTAAGACCGAGTTCAATTTGTATAGAAATTAATTGTATTTTTTGCTTCCGATAAACAAAAACATGATTTCCTTGAGAAACAAAAGAGAATACAATCCGTTGATGCATATATTTAATAGGAAAGGAAATACAGTATTTAAAACTTTGTTATCGGCATTCGTACTTCATAAAAGGAAATGATACAAAATATAATGTAACTTGTATCATATTCAAATGAATTTTCAAAAGTAAATATTTTTTTCTGAAAGGGTTTTACCTCATGGTCTCCACATTTCGTGACCTGATCGCATTCGTGAGGATTCACTACGTTCTTACAGTTCATACATAATTGCCCAGCCGCTGAAAATAACTCTAATAAATAACTCACTAGAAATTTTGCTATCAATATTCATAATTTTTCAATTAATGAAAAAAATTACACTTAATGTACTTTTTCGAAAACTCCTCACAGAATGATATCAACAATTACATCACTCAAAAGTTTAATTTTTTGTATATTTTATATATTTGTGTGTAGAGGGGAAAAAGTCAGCAATTATAAATTATAGAACTATATAATAAAGAAGAAGGTACGGTTTTAGCTTTATTATGTCCTAAAAATTTGATGCTTTCAAAAAGTTTTTAAACTGGCTTGAATATTAGTTGAGCATATGACTGTGATAAATCAGGAAAGAAAATGGCATGAAAGAGTACCATTCTGGAAATATGACGTCTTAATTTGATGAAGTTCTTTATTTAAAACAGAAAAAGTCTCAAAATTACCCATTTCAAGGGTTATTTTTCTTAAGAAAATTGTTTCTACAGCCGTTACCCACATTAATTTTCGGATATGTTGTGTAAAATTCGTTGAAAAATGGCACATCTCAAAATCTTTGTGGGCGATACCTGTGGACATTACTATCTTAAACAAAATTCCATTGAAAATTGGTGTCTTCTGCAATTTTTTTAAAAAGGTATGGGAAAATGCACTTCGTCAAGTTTATGACGTCACAATTACCATTTAGAAGGTCGTGTGAGGAAAATGATTTGTATAATCTTTCTGCATGGAATTTCATTGATTCAGAAAGCATGCGTTTTAATTCTTTACATCACTTTCATTTTAAAGAAAAAACACAGGGCAATATTTGTATTGAAGCCATACCTTGTTCTTTGAACATGGTTTTGATAATCAAAATAAATAATTATGTAGTTTATGCAAGCGAAACCTTTTTCTAAATGCCTTTGACATTCATTTTAAGTATTAAAAGAAAGGTACACAAAATTATTTTTGCACAAATAATTTAATACAGTAACTGCTGAATTTGTTTTTAATCTGCTCAATATTTCAGATTAATTACAGTTGAACTTTGATATTTCCAACTCTGATATCTCGAATACCATGGGTAAGTTATTTTAAAAGTTAGAACGACTACGTGATATAACTGTATGATCTTTACCATTTAATTTCATTCAGAAAAAGAAACGGAGGAAACAATCAAGGAGAACAAAATATCGATCTGTCTTCGTTATAAAAGAAAGTGAATGTCTTACCAGCTATCTAGAAAAGCTATTAATTTTTGTTTTACCTGCGATCTCTAAAAGCCCCAATAAAAACAGGAGATGCATTGCCTCTTCTGTAATAGAAAACAATAGAAGATACAGTTAACCTCGGGTAAAAGAAAGCCTCTGGGATCTCAAATTCCTTCTAACCGAGATTCTATTTATCTGTGTAAGGAGCATAGTGAAACGTCTTCTGTGTGATTCATACAAGTTTCCTTATAACCGAGATTTCCATATAAGCGATTTCTTAATAACCGAGTTTTGCTGTAATATGTCTTGGTTGGGAATAACTGTAAAGTTGAGTTTTAAATTGTCAAAGCGTATAATCTAAAATATATATTTTAGAACTTGGGCTTATAAGGGTTTCGTTTGTAGGAAAACCTCGGCTATAAAGATGTTATAACTTTTCCTCATCCCTAATTTCATAACACAATTATATATGGCTATGAACAAAAACGCTTATAAGGAACTTCAATAAAAGACAATATCGGCTATAAGTAAATAATAACTTTTCAGGCCTCATCCCTCAGTTCATAACACTTTCTTACGTGGCTTTGAAGAAATTTGGTTAATAAGAAACTCAGAATTCATTTCCGGAGGGTTTTATAAGCAGGTTCTACTGTATGATAATGCAAGTATTAAATAGCGAGGAAAACATAATGAAAGGAGGGAATTACTGGATTGTGCATTCATGACTAGATGCTGCTTATACATTTAGCATAGAGAAATATACACTAGTAAACGAAAGTTCTAAGACTGAATTCAAATGACTTACATGAGAGAGAGAGAGAGAGAGAGAGAGAGAGAGTAAAATCCTTGAAGTATTTAAGCAGTATCCATTTTTTTTTCCAGAATGTCGCAGCATAAAACTATAGTGACTCCCTTCGACAAAATGATCAAAAACAGTGTCCAGAAACTGGGAAACTTTAAACAAAGAACGGAAACTCTTTAATCTGATATTTGTATTCCTATCATCGGTTGGAAGTATAGATAAACAATGACATTTGGAGATAATATATAGCACGGAAGAACCTAGCAATATTCTTCATTACAGATATGCTATGGCAAATTCTAAAAATATACATCTATTTGATCGACAAGAAAGGAAATCATTTTCAAAACCATATATGGTAAAACATGTCTAATTCGACATATACTGGGAGACAAACTTCGTGTCGGAATAGACAGGATGTCAGATCCTTGAGAATAGTAAAATGTGAATAAAATTAAAGGTCGGAATTCACGGTGAAACTTGTTGCACAGGTGTCAGATTAGACAGTTTTTACTGTATATCATGTAAAGACCGATTCAATCGTAGCTTGGTTTAACTGTAGATGATGAGACTATTAAGATTTCAGTTACTGCAAAAATATTATAAACCATGAAGAATTAATTTACTAAACGTATCTAATTGGAGAAAATAAATCATGCAGTAATTTACCTAGCAATATGATTCATGAATTTTGTGTCAGTTAGTACTTACAAATACAAAAGTATTATTCCGTTAATTTGGCACTACCACAGTGGACAATTCCATAAGATAAGAGAGCCCTACATGATATACGAAATCCAATCCGTAAAAACAAGTGTACCTGAATGAACTTACAGTTGGTGCAATTCTAAAGGAGGATTGAAGAACTCAGATTATATTAATAGGCTGCATTTTGAATCAACTAAAATACTTGTATGCATGTATGTTACATCTTTTGTGTTTATTTGTCTGTACATGTATACAGTAGATCTGATATCTACCTTTTCATTATTAAACATAAAACTTATTGTATATGTATATATTCCTTCATATCTAAGATCAAATGTAAAGCCTTATGACTTCTCTTATTGATGTGATCATATCAAGACTTATATAATTTGGCATGTTGCATTTCAAATATATATTATTTTTGAGCATTAAAAAAAACACGAAATGAATATTGAACCCAGAATCAACCTTCACTGTTACAATATCCATGTTGTTCTTTTGCTATCTTTTATCTTTACGACATTTTAGACAGAAGAAAATATTTGGCATACATGTCTTATTCTCACATTTAGCGAAAATTAATTAAGTATTACAAACTTAAAATCTTGGGTCTCTTAAGCGCATTTTGAATTAAGTCAATTAACAATGATGTTTTTTTTACGATACCTCGACAAATACTAATCTATTCTTGAGTGTATAAGCAGAAATAAATTTACATAATTCAATATACTACTTACATAAGAAACAAACAAAGATAAACGAGTTACATGTTAAGTTAAAATGCACATTTATCATTGATTTATTATGATTCATGAATCATTATTTTTTTTTCATGCAAAATAGGCCTAAAGATATCTCAAATGTCGGGATTTAATGTTAAAAGTGAAAAAAAAAAATCAAATAACTCTTAGTTTTTTTGATATATGGAACAAAAACCTGAATGTTCTGAACATTCATAATAGAGACCTTTTCATAAAGCAACCATGATCTAATTGTCTTTTTATACTGGCAAAGGTTGACAAACTCCTGAACGAAAAAGTATATTACAGACTGTACAAACGAGAGGACTACGCTTTAAATATGATATTGATATTTTTGTAGCTAATGGGAAACTAGCATCATCCTCACAAAATCTCTTTTCTTTCAGAACAGATATTGAAATTTGACCTTTTTCCAGGCACTCAAATGTTGCGTAGCAAGAAGAATTGGATAATTGTACTTTAACAATTTGCAAATTAAAATATACTCAATTTTTTTTCCTCAATACTAAATCTGTTATTTATTCGTACTAATACTCTTACATGCTATACCTAGCAGATTCTTAAATGTTGCATGATTTAATCATAACATTTGTGGTTAACATTCAGAATAGAAGAGTATAATCATAGTTACAGCACAATTAATATTAAACTATTGATTTCAAATTACAGCTTTCTGATTTTTTGTGTCAAGGTTTATTCAAACCGAGTAATCTAGCAGTGCACATAAGAGTTTCAGTCGTGATCAATAAATAAGTGTAACAGTTTGTGAGTCCCAGTTTTTCCCTTTAAAGAGAGTGTCAAATTACATCAATGTAATTTGGTTCTTTCAACATGAATGTTGTTGAGATGTCAAATATGATATGCATACCGCAAAATGTGACTTGTAAATGCTTAAAGTCTGATGTATTTCTCTTGTTCTTTTTGAAAATGGAAAATTATTCTTTTTAACCACACTGTTGGTCATACTTCCTAACAAACCTTTGCACAATGCATACTAAAGAATGAAAATATTATTCTGTGGTATTTTTATGCAATTTAGTTTAAAACAAAATAAACTGAAATCTACAACATATTTTCATTTCTTAGTTCGTTATTAATTCAAGATTCTTAACATTTTAATAGACGAAAATAATGAATTAAATAAAAGAACATGATTTTTAATCAATAGTTCATTAACTTCGAACATTTCCTTGGGGTTAATATATCAGGTACCCTTAAATTAAAAATTAAACATGTAATATGAATATTAATACCTTTATATAACTAAATTTCTTCAAGGTCTTAAAAAAATTCTTTTTTTTTGTATAGAGGGTCCTTAAATACCAAAAATGCATATATTAAGATGTGTTAAATATTAGATGGACAAAATCCATTTCCCTCCCCATTCTTTGCTTGAAATGAACTCGTCCAGGTTTGTTTACTTTACAAGTATGTTTAATTTAACTTCCTAGTTGCATGAATTATACTTCCAAACATGGTTTTGTTGATTATGAATACATATATATGTTCGTATGCTTTTGTTATAAGTTGGGCATCTGGATATGGTAAGTTATAATTATTATCATTATTATTTATTTACGATCAATCAAACCTCTTAATCTTATCTCGAACTCAATGGGACAGAGAAAAAACTTCAAGATATCCGATGATTAGAGATATCCAGGGTAAAATACTTAAAGAATAAGTTATTGGGACTTCCAAATCACTTCGACATATCCATGGTACATTTGTATTTGAATTATCAGTGTTCGAGATACCAAAGTTAAACTGTATTTTATTTATTTATTTATTTCGCGTAAGATGTATATCTTTCTCTTGTTTTTGAAATATCAAATTTACAAGGAAGATTATGATAATAATGACATTTCTGCTCCTAGGGATCAATTCTCAAATTATTACACAACCGGGTTCTCTGTCTAAAATTATATGATTAAACCAGAAGTCAGTTTATTCAATGAAATTGTTACACTGTTACACACATTGAGATTAAAGAACTTTTTAGAACTTTTTTAGATTTTAGATTATCTTTATGGATGTGAAATATTCGCTCTTAAATTGTGCAAATCCATGTGGAAGTATAATATCACCTTTATGTTTTCGCATACATTCTACTTATATATCAAGACAATTACTCCTTTTATTTGAATGCTTAGGGTAAACAGAGGCAAAGCAAATAAACTCTTATGTAAAGAAATAAAAAATATTTCAAAATTTGGAACAAAATGAAAATCACTCTTGATATATGAATGTATGAAGAAACATTTGGCAGACCTAGATTGTTCTCTGTAGTGTACCAGATAATATACAGCTGCAATTATACTTGTTATTATAGATATGAATTTCTGGTTTTTATTGAACTCTTCCACAAATAAATAAGATTTTTTTGGTTTGATTTCTTAGTGTCATAAAAAAAATAATGTATGCATTCATGAACTATATATTTACTTTTAAGCGTACCAGCCCTTAATCAATACCATGTAATTGAATTGCTTTCATGTCTCTCCATGCCTTCCAAAATATGTTCTCAAAGTTCATTTATATTTGTATGCATTTCATTCCTATCCTTTTGAAATTTCTCGATCATGTAAGATCACAATTACAGATTAAGGTCCTTTAAATAAATCAGGTAGCATGCAGGTCTGTCCATTGTCATCCTCAAGAGCCCTCTATACACGGCACTCTAAAGAGATCTGATTTTGTGGTATTTTGATGTAGATAGAGTAATCTGCTCTTTGATCTAGAATAAAATAAATTGAAATGTAAAGTTTATTAATTATTTGTGATCAAATCAAGCATTCATAACATTTTATGAATATATTGAACAC